CAAGAGCGCGTTCTGGGAGGAGCCACAATCCCGACCCGAAACCGCAATCCCGGGAGAGCCAGAGCCCGAGCGAAAGCCAGAGAGAGCAAGAGAGGAAGAGCCCCTCATGGATCTCCTGCCCATGGGGGACAGGAGATGGAACAGCCCCTTGGCAGAGCCAAATGCCCATGGAGCTGATCCATGTCAATATTCCTCAACCCCTGAGATCTTGCACTTGTAGCCTAACAGAACACAAAGTCCTTCACTTCCAGCGACAAAAATGCAAACACAGGTGTGTTCTCAGTGTTTCTCTCATAACAATTCCCAGGCTGAAAAGCAAAACACAGCACTATTCTACCTACTAAAAAGAAACCCAGCCCTGTTCCAGCTAAAAACCAGGACAGTTGTCAATCATGTACACATCCATGGCACAGCTCTATCACTATTCAGAAACTACCATCCTATCTATTTCTTTTAAAGCCACCTCAAAAAGACTGAATGCAGTGGTTAATTCTATATAAAAGGACATGTTACAGAGAAAAGCAATATTACTGTGTTTTCTTTCACAGCAAATGAACGCTCCAGACCTCAACCATGAGCTGTTTGGGGTTTTATTCACTGCAACAGACAAGAATAGCAAGGTCAAACCTGCCAAATCACTCCTTCTCTGCAAATCAGCAGCTTCCAAACACCGAGAAGCCACTGAGTGCAGAGAACACTTCAAGCACACTGTTACTTGCAAATTTCATGGCTTTTTTTTCACTTCTCAGAAGTTGCACTGGACCGCAACTGCCAACAAATCCCATTGCTTCAGTAGACCTTCCTCTAACAAAAAAAAACCAAACAAATTTTTCAAATTCATATTTCATATGGAATAGGACCATTTAAAAAGTACAAAAGCACAAACCAAGGTACCACTTCACTAAAAGCCAACACATCCACTAACAGCAAACTCCAAACAACTTCTATGGTAACTGCCACTTCCCACACCAATGACACATATTTAGTAGGACACAGGAGAGAGGTAGCACAGAACCTATGGTATGTGACAGACTCGGATGAAAACACTCAGATTAGCAAATCCACATACCAAAAAAAAGAGGAGGTTACCACAACTGCATCAATATTTTCAAGGTGTTCACATCTATATGCTCAATGCACATATTTAATTAAGCAGCTAGGTTTGGAAAATTTGCCCAGCTGCATGAATGTGCTCCCATGTTTGTATGCAAAGCTAAAAAAAAATAAATCAATTGGATAACTGCACAGGCAATTACACATTTACACGCTCAGTTAACAAGCCTTCGCTCACAAAGTACATCAAGTCACACAGGCTCTAACTGGAGCCAGAGAAGAAGGATCTATGGATGCATAATCAGTTGTTTTGTAAGTGAAAACAGTTACATGTTCTTCTGATGACAAGTAGGCAGGATTTATTTAAGCAAGGCAGAGGACAGGAGAAGAGGAAATGGTCTCAAGTTGGACCAGGGGAGGTTTAGATTGGATATTTGGAAAAATTTCTTCACTGAAATGGTCATCAAGCATTGGAACAGGCTGCCCAGGAAAGCAGTGGAGTCTCCATCCCTGGAGGGATTTAGAAGCCATGTAGCTGTGGTGCCAGGGACATGGTTTAGTGGTGGGCCTGGCAGTGTTAAGTTTACAGTTGGACTTGATGATCTTAAAGGTCTTTTCCAGCCACAATGATTCTATGATCAGCACAGCGTGGTCCATATACTTACATACTCAGGCACCCAGTGTGAGACTCAAGCAGAGTACATTGCTCACATCAACAGAGAAAACACCCATTTTGCCATCCCTGAACCTGAAAGCAACCCATCTCCAACCTTTCTTCTTTAGAGCTTGCCAAGGCTCATAACAACCGCTCATACCCAAAGCTACCAGACCTTACAAAGCTACTAACAAGACTTAGCAAGTCAGCATTAACTTCAGTCCCACTGGAACCAAGAAATTCAGCATTCCTCCATGCTCCCCAAGCAGATCAACCCAACAGAAGCTTTCAAGACAATATGTTAAATGCATGGTCAGAATTGGGCCCCTTACAAAACGGGGTGGCAGCCGATGCCTTCTGTTAAACCAGTGGTCATGGTAACCCCTTGTCCCACACCCCTTCTGCTCTTCAACATGCTGTTGGTTGGAGCACCTCATCCAGGTTGAGGGGCACTTGCCTGTGTTGCTGATTGCTGCACAGTAAGGACTTTGTTGGGCCAGAAAAGCAAAGAAGAAACAGAGCCCGTAAATCTAGAAGCCCTTCTTGAGGCAATTAAGGCCAAAAAAAAAGAAGGATTTTAGGGATGTGAACAGACTTTATTTCTGCCTCCACACACCAGCTCTGTCAGCCCAGACACCTACACCCGACCACAAGCAGGACAGGGAGTAGATGAGCCTGGCAGGGCTCTGTCCCCAAAGCCATTTCCCAGATCAAGCCCCAAGAGCTTAACTTGTATTAAAAGTTAAAGTAAACCAGAGAGCTCAGGGAGGCTGCACGTACGCCTCCCCCATGCCCACCCTTGCCTCATTTATTTTGCATCTGTTTCCTCCAGAGCCAGAAGAGGTGGGAAAAGGTTATTTTAAAATATATAATTATGGTCATTCAAACCACCAAAATTAAAACAGCATCTGTATGAGGAGTACAGTACCTGAATTTACTTTTTATTTTTAATCTCTTAATTATCTAGGCTACAAGTCAGCACCATTTTTAAAGTCTCAGTGGCTTAGCTTTTCTTCCTGCAAAAGAAGCTGGAAGACAGAAAGGTTCAACTGCTGAATGTTTATGAAGCTCCTGAGACCATCGAAGAGAAGTTTCGTCTCCTCCACAGATGACTGCACTTTCAAATGGTTGAAAATGATGATGCAAAGGATGGAGGAGTCTCTCATTAGGCCTATGTTTAGAGAAACTTCGTTTTCTAATAGGTAGTGAGCTTTCTGAGACAACTCATCCAAGACTAAGCACTGCATTTGCTGGGGGGGCCTGTGAAGCTAAACCAGTATCACAACTCAGAGGGAAACCCCTTTGAGATTGGACACCTTGGAGGTAACCCTTCCACTCATTATCCATAAAACCAAACAGATGCTTTATTTTGCATTCCTGTGAGTATGGACACATGTACCCACGTGTAGGAGCCTGGAATCAAGGATAACACCATGATAACAACCTGCTGTTTTATTCCCCACCACTCGATAGCAGCACCAAAAAAGACTGGAAGAACAAACGGCCCATGTGCCGATACTGCTGTCAGGGTACCACGGCAGCTCTGCTGATCTCTTGTTCTTGATTCAATGTGCTATGAAAAAAACAATACAACTTCTGACAACACCAATCCAAATCACAAGAAAATTAACTTGCTTACAAAAGCCATACTTATTAGCAGGCAAAAGACGACAATAAAATCAGCTTATTAATGGAGTAACATACAAGCTTAAGTATAATCAGTCTTTGATGAACTATCTCTTACTGTCTTGACAGCAAATCCCAGCAGAATTAAGACCCTGGTTCATTAAAAAAACCAAACAATTAAGCACACACAAATGTATTTATTGAATTGGTATGCATATTCTTTAAATTACACTCATGCTTTTAGCTCTGCTTTATGGAGAAGGACTGGTTGTGCCCAGTGCCAGGTGAAGAAGCACGAGTCTTGCAATAGATCTGAACTGGGCCGAGCCCATCTCCTACAGAAGAATTTCTAAAGCCAACTTCCCTCTTTCACACATAAGCAATGATCCCAAGAACTGCATTTCCCTAGGGCCATGTTTGTTTCATTGATCAAAATTTAACCCCTTGCGCAGGATAAGACATGATCCATTAGTTGCTTTGCCAATCTGCAACTTCACCAAGCGTAAGGTCTCTCTTTTGAAAACTGTCTGCAATGGGATTTATGATTTAGAAGGTACATCTTTTCATTCATAATTCAGGAGAGTGAAATGCATCTGCATGTCCAAGGACTTGTAGTGCTGGCACACCAAGGAACTGCTGTGTCAGAGATCAAAGTTACACCGCGTGCCAGGTCACAGTGATGAGCTCCAGTATGGGTTTGCACTCAAATCATGACATTCAACTTCTTTCCTTAATGGACAAGCAAAGCACAAAGAAGTGTCACATAAGGGTATATGGTATGACCCAAACCCCCCAAACAAACCCTGTGCTTGCATGTGTTCTGTGGATAAGAACTGCTCAATGAAATGGTCCAGAAGCTCTTTCCCATTTCTACTTGCATCTATGCAGCTGAACAAATGCCTTCTTAGCACAGCTGCCGCAGCAAAGAACTGAATCTAAAAATAATCCCCTGATTGGCACTGGCTGAGAAGTGGAGAAATTAAAGAGGTAAAACAAGGATTACAGTATTCAGTAGACTCTATGGCTGTAGAGGTCTGACATCTGTGTTCTCACCCAATGCAAGTGTCCCCATCAACACCATCCCTTTGAAATGCAGGATGTAGTGTTCTT